AGATACCGACAATTCTGTGGATGGAAAAATCGAAAATATATGCTCTGAAATTTTTTCAATGAGCATTGATAGACCTCAACAGTTGCAGAATGGCTATGATGAGCACATTGGGGAAACATTGACATCTCACACCTCTCGAAAATCTTCATTACCGATTGTTGAGGTTTATGCCTCAAATAGTCAGTCTCAGATGAAATTGGAAACGCAGACGCACGCCTTGCAAATTGATTCGCTTGAGATGGAAGATAATCTATTATCTTTTGATAAACAAAGACTTAAGGATCCCGAGTATGCTTCTAACGGAAACCGGAGACCAGATTTTTCTCATTCTTTTCGTCTTTCACAGCATTCTAATTTTCATTCTTCACCGCATAATAACACTGACGCTTCAGTCAGGGTCAATGTGGATAGGCAAATTGTATATACAAAAGACAATTTGATAGTTTCAGCTTCTAGTCATCCTGTTATGTCGAATGGACATCACGAGAATGAACTCAATACTTCTGAGTTAGTGAATGGTGTCGAATATACTTATTTGTTTCCAAGTAATGAGAACAAAAGTTCACTTCTGGGAAGATTTGAAGGTGAAGCAGCCAGTCATAGTCATCCTGTTGCCACTGATGAGGGGGAAAGCAGCATAATATCAAATATTTTGTCTATGGACTCTTACTCATGGGATGAGTCATTAACTTCACCTCAGCACCTGGCTAGTTCACGGAAAATCCAGAATAGCAATCAATCAAGGTTTTCTTTTGCTAGAGAAGAGGAACCTATGGGCCGAGCATCAGACTTTGGACCAACTATCAATCATGCCGAGCAAGCCCTTAAGGATCGCTCTTTTGGCAATGAATTCACCAACACCAACAGCTTTCATATTGGGAAGCTTGGTTCTCACAATAGGTTATCTCTATTTAAGGGTGTGGAGTCAGATAATTTTGCCAGCAGTCATTCTTACGTCTCTTCTAACAAGCTTCCTGGTGAGTTGCAATTTATTCAAGTTATATGGCTGAGTGAAGTTTATATTGTGGCTGATTGTTGATCGAAGTTTATTCTTTGTTGACTTGCACTTGGTTGTAACTTTCTTCTGATTTCTTGGACACATTAGTAAACTTGTCATGGAAGTTGACCCTTATGTAGGATATCTGTGCAACTTAGTTCTTTCTTGATCCTTTGTTCTTGTGCCTCATACGATAAACTTAGGGGTACTTTCACATGGAGGTTATTTCAAGTTTCTTTTTATATATTACATTTTAGTTGATGGACCTATCTCCATTTCATGTTATCTTTTACCAACCCGCATTTCTTGATGGTTTGATCTCTGTAGCACCGACACTTTAATTAGGGTAGCGCATTCGTGTCCGAATCGAGTCCGTCGGACACGAGTCGATACCGACACTTCTCGAACATTCTATGGTACTCATATTTAAAAGATTTTAAAAAAAAATTTAATAACAAGTATAAAACTAAATTTATACTATATAAATGAAGAATTTTTAAGAATTTAATCGTGTCGATAACGTATCGTGTCTGTAATTTTTTTTTTTAAAATCACGTGTCGACGTATCCGACATGTATTGTGTCGGACACATATATCCGTGTCGGTGCATCATAGGTTTTGATTCTGAATGGTGTATTTTGTACTGATCAGCTTTCCTTGTTTGGAATTAGAGCTTTTAGTTTATCAAGTTATTTTGAAGATGCTAAATGTTTTTTCCTAATGCCTTTTAACAGTTTCAAGATCTCAAGTTTCTGCCCCCCCTGGCTTCTCAGTGCCTAGTAGGGCCCCACCCCCTGGCTTTATTTCTCATGAGAGGACAGAGCAGATTTTTGACCCACCCTCTGGTCAGTTAATTTATGACAAGCACTTTCTTGTTTTTGGGCTTCTATTTCATGTTAAAAATCTCTGATTATGAATTATCAATTTTTTATGTGCTTGTGCAGGGAATTATATGCCCGATGCTTCGCTTTTGCCAAGAAATCAGTATCAGGCACCCCCAAGTGGTGATTCTATTAGTAATGGCGAAATTGAGTTTTTGGATCCTGCAATTTTGGCAGTTGGCAAAGGGATGCTACCTGGTAGCCTCAACATGTCAAGCTTGGATACTAGATTAAGTTATTCTCCACAGTTTAGTACACTTGAAGACTCAAAATTCCAGTCCTCGTTACAAAGATCAGTTCCTACACATCAAAACCAGAGATTTACAGACCTGGTTGACAGTTTTTCTCCCCTTGGTGACGCTTACGGAGTTCCTTCTAGAGTAATGGAGCAAACCCTAGCCAACAACCTGTCCCCATTTTCCCAGTTTACCCTCCCTCCTATAACATCCAATGGCCAATGGGATGGGTGGAATTCGGTGCAGCGTGAGAATAATTTAGGTATGGCAGAGTTACTCAGGAATGAGAGATTGGGATTTCCTAAGTACTACAGTGGTTATGAAGATTCAAAGATGCGCATGCCAAATTCTGGTAATCTATATAATTGGGCAAATGGGATCTAAATTTGGTTGAAGAGACTTATTTGGCACAGTTTGAGCTGATTATATGGTGATATAGGAAGATCATGTGTGACTTAGAGAATACCTGCTTTAAGGATTTCGATGCTTGGCAGTCGGATGACCTGATCACTTGTATTGACTAAACAGACTGAGGCCTTGAACGCCAGAAATGATAGCCTTCCAAGGACATGAGAGTGATTCACAAGTAGTCTGACTGTGCTGCTTTTAAGTTGGTGGAGGATCAAGCCCTTTCAAATAGGGAGTCCCAAACCAACAGGTAAAATATTGGCTCTCTTTTACATGGTAAATGTTATTGAATAGTTTACGAGGCTGTTGTGCATGTATATCATGGGGAAATAATAAGTGAAGTAGAGTACCTAAAGTAGATTAGGGGCTAAATGGTCACTCCTCGTGTTTGTCAGTAGAAAAGATGAAGTTATTAATTTATCTGAGAAAAGAAGGAATAGCGAGTTTGTTGTACCATTATACACTTCCTTCCCCCTAAGCAAACTTCTGCTGATAGTTATATTAGACTTTGCAGAGATTCCTATTAACTGATTTTTCTCCCTTACCCCACTGTATCTCTCCACTCTTGGGAAGATTAAAGAATCGTTTGGAAGAATTTATAAACCCTGCGATCCTAATCTTTTTATACTAGAAAAATGCAGTACACTTCACCTCTCCCTTGTGCATTACTCCTATTGTGCATCTCAATTTCCATGAAACTTATGGAACAAAAGAGTTTTGAAACGTTAATCTGGACATGAATAGACTTTTTTGTTTGACCTATGTGCTCATTTTGTTCATAGCTTTTCTTTTTCCACCCATTTTCAGGTAAAAGGAGCTTGAGATTCAGGCTTATTGTGATGGCAGCACGAGGAATGTTGTTCACGATGAAATCAGAAGGTGAACTTTTCTTTCGTAAGGCTAAAGCTTAGTTTGTTTGTGAAGTTGTGAAACTACAGAGGTGATTGGAAATATTTTCTTCATAATGACGAAAATTGATTTGTGTAGGCAAGTTCCGGAAATGGAATAATGGCTATATAGTACGTTTGCTTATTTACTTGAGAAAATGAGGGGTTTTTTTTTTCAAAACAATCAATGAATACATGCTAGTGTCAAGTAAGACTAGTGTTTTTCCCGGTCACATCGAAAAATTTGTAGCTGCATCAATGTATACGGCTGTCTTCCTACATGGCTTCACCCTCCAGAATTTCTTACTCGTCATAAAAAACTGTCAATATCCACAACTGGAAAGGGTTTTATTTGGTGAGTATAATCACGGTTTTCTTTGTATTCACATTTTCTGTTAGTGTGCTTTGAATTCACAAATAACATAAGCGATGGTTGATGTATTAATTAATGAAAGGTTAAGGAAGAAATACAATGAACAAATTATGAATGTGGCAATGAGTTATGGTTTGGACTTTTAGTACCTTTAACTCTTATAAAAATATTTTAAAAAATAAAAAATCGTAGTGACTATATAATTTCATATACATAACAAGAAAATATGAAGAACGTTTGCATCTTTTACTCTCTCGCTGCCCTTGCATCCCAACACTCGTGCTAGCTCATTGCTCCTCCAGCACCTCTTGCCACCACATCAGCCCATCGTCATGCGTCCCGTCCCAGGCCCCGCTTCGGCCCCAACCACACCCAACCTCCTGCACTAGCTTTATATCTGGTTTCCTACCCTTTTTTCTCTTCTTTTCGTTCTCCTTTGCATTTTCTCCTTTAAATTTCAAGTCAACGTAACATTCTTTACAAGAAAAAATGACTATACAAACGTGTTACTTGTACAATTTTCCTTTTCTAGAAGATAACTTATGGACCATAGATGTCAATTCATTAATCTTTATTGGTACATGCTGAAGATTCCTACAATTTGCTAAGTTTAGCACAAGACAAGGAAAGACATTGATTCGACAGTACAATGATACCAAATCAACCCATAAAATACTACCTTAGATTTGATGCTTTTTCTTTTCATATTTCTCTTACACGTATGCACATGTCTCGATCATTTTGAAAAAATAATTATAAATAGATAAGAATGAATAATGAATAAGTAAATAATATTTGTGAATTGATCGAAAATGAAATTTGACCATTTATAAATTTTGTCAGATGGGTCAAATATAAATTTGGGCATCTATACCATCAAAAATAAATAGAAATAAATAAAATTGTCTTGTGGTAATCAATTAAGCTTTTTTATCGTGAGGTCAAACCATGAATTTTGAGGAGGATTAAATTGAAAAGAAAATGGGATTTTGATTTTCTGCACCTTTAAACTGAATCCTTTTCGAATTTAGATTAGAAACAATATGAACAATACCAAATTGCTCCATCAATCTGTTTTCTAGCAATGTAAAAGAATAAAAATCAATCCTACTTCTGCACATTCACATTTCAACCAGGCTGAGAGATTGTGGGTATTGAGAGATGTCTGCTGACAGTCGTGGGATATGATGAACGAATGCCGAGATTCCACGGGAGTTTTCATGACAAAGCAGAAGTTGAGAGAGTAGTTGTAGCCAGTGATGAGAATCCTGATGATGCTGCAGCAGAGAACATCGCCATCGGGGTGGCTCGATTGTCCACTCGTCGCCCCCAGTCTGGTAGTCCTTGTGAAACTTCAATTCTATTCTCCGCCAGCCTTTCCTGCCAAATTATCCATAATCTTAGACGTGTCGTGTGGCATGCTTGGCAAAAAAAGATGCTGGATAACAAAGAAGCTCAAATCGTCGGCTCTTATCCAATACTACATTAAAAGATCAGCAAACCGACACTATAGCTTCAAGGATCAGGTCACAATGACCTCACTCGCTATGAATTTGATCTTATTTCCTCAGTTTCTCAACCACAATTAAGAAATCAAGATTTAGAAGTTATTACTACAAAATGTTAAACACGGATCACTCTGATCATGCAAGTGAATTGAAAGTTGGATCACCTGAATTAGAGGTTTTTATAGCCGGTAAATGAAGTAAAAAAGGTGCACGGTGCAGTTGTCAAATGGAGCATTGCAAGCCTATAAATCTTAACACAGTCGATAAATTTACCTCGTAGAAGGAAACAAATTTAGGATTTAGACCAACCGAAGATGTAGGATACCCTGATGATAACGGTAGTCCCTTAAGAGGTGGATCCAACTGTAGGTGCAAGAACAAATAGAGAATGTTTTATCAACAACACTGCTGATGATCAATGGAGGAATGAGTATATAGACATAATTCAATTTATTCTCGAACATACCTTCGATTTTCTTGCATTTTGAACATCATAAGGTTGGAACTGAAGCAATGCCAAACTTTCATTCTCCTTTGGGGAAGAGATTGAAATCCCCAAGTTCAGGTCGAGATCGTGTTGGCTACCTGCGTAGTTTGTATCGTATAAAGAACAAACTCTTTATAAGATAAAATGCAAACCCAATAAAACAGAGAAATTATATTGAACCATACCTTCATTCCGTGGCTCTGATACATCGTATTTAGTCGACTCAAAGTTGGTGACAGCATTCCTTCCATTACACTGGATGGCCGGCTCGTCGTAAGCCCTATGTTGCATAAAATAAAAAAGTGAAAACTAACTTAGAATCAGAAACGAGTGTAATTTATGATCATTAGGACCTTGCAGTCGAATAGCCCAAGAGATATATATATATATATACAGAAATGATCTAATGAGCACCGGTGCTCATCTTATCCTAAGCACCGATGAGTTGGCACATTAATTCATTGGTGNGTGCTCATTAGATCATTTCTCTATATATATATATATATAAAACTGCAGTTTAAGCATTGCAATGCCCACCATAAAAATCCAATTCCCATTTATTTCTTGTTTCAAGTTATGAATTATTAGTTCATAATTATATCGTCTCGACTCATTCACTCTAGAGACTCAACACAAATTCTTACTTTTTGCCATGTAACTGCTCCATTCGAGCTTCCCATCGACCACATTTGTGCAGTGTAACTCCTCTGTACTTGGAACTCCCTCTCGTGCAGCCACGTCGCAATATATGCACAAATTCCTCTTTACTCAGACTCTTCGTCTGCACCATTAGCCAAAAGAAGCTAACAATATGAATAAGATTGTCGTTCAACTCATATATCCATTAATTTTCATAAAGTTCGACAACCTTTTCGAGGGACGGGAGTCGACTGACTAATAAGGAACTCAACTAGAAAGTTTCTTGATATAGTTTACCTGATTAATTTCATCCTCGTAATCACTAAGATTGAAGTTAATATCGGCATCAACACCCCGGAACTTGATTGCAGCTCTATCATATGCTCTATAACCATAAATAAAAATTAAATTCATAGAACGATATCAGTAATATAATTTAGAAAAAGAATAATCAATAATTTACCTGGCTGCAGCAAGAGCAGTGTCAAATCCACCTGAAACAAGTCCAACAACACCAAATCCCATCCCATCCCATCAATATTTACCAAAAGTAGAAATTAATTAAAAGAATCTCAAAAAATTACCTAAATAAATCTGTTTCCCACAATCCCTGCACCCAACATACAGATTAATTAATATATAAAGTTTAAAATAATAAATTTAGAACAATTCGATGTTAGATTACCAAATATGAGATTCCCATCTGCCAGTTCTTCTATAAAAAGTGACCCCTCTATACTGTGAGCTCCGGGAAGGTGGCCCCCTTCTACTTTTCTTGAGCTTTACATGTTGTGCCAATTTTCTTGGAACAACTGGTTGATCAATCCAGTTTCCATTGCCATTATTGTTAGGTCTCCCCACGTTCAACTCGCATGGTCCACTCACCGGGAAGAGCTCTCGAGTCACCGGCTCCGATTTAGTCAAATAACGATCCTTCTCGACTGGGTCATTTCTATTGAGGATGCCGAAGTTTAATGTATAAGAGTTTTCAGGGGAGGCGCGTGTGGACCACGTGCCGTTGTAGCTGGAGCCTTCTTTTCCGTTTACAACCCATGAAGTCGTCGTTACAGGGGATTCATCTTCCTCAAAATTCGAACCTATGCTCAGATTAAGATCAAACATCTCTCTTTCTATGCTTATATATACTCTGTCTGACACAATTAACTTAAAGGGCCGTCGGAAAAAGGCTGATCGGAGCTAAAATTGTTGGTATTTCACGGCAGAATGATCACAGAGTTCAATGTTTATCCATGGAGTCAGAAAGAGAGAGAATTTATGGAGTGCATTGTGAAAAGGAAGCATAAAATCATCGACCAATATGAGATGCCGTTTTTTACACAGTGAAGAAAGAGATGTTGGAAAAAATAAATAAGTTGAAGGGTTGAATTTTGCATAAATTTTGAGTGGGACCCATTTATTTATTTTGGAAGATCAAGATTGATTTGTATTGTTCTTCGTGAAATAGCGAAATCATATATTTACTTGTCAAAAATGATGCTCGGATGAATGAAAACTTAAGCTCAAAGTGATTTATTGGAAGATGTTTTGTCTTGGTGAGAGATTAATTTAAAGTTACCCCATATAGAAAAATAGATAAGATAATGACCACTTTAAATATGATTACACTTTAGATATGTATAATCATATGTAGTATGGAAGCTCTCTTCATAGATACGCAGGAGTGCAAATCACAGATCGAAATAAGTTTCGGATCTTGAACTTGTGTGCGGACGCGATCTACGTGAATGGACCAAAATTTGGCCCTTAAGAAGGTTCACATTTGTGGAAATTACAC